GAGCGAGCTTCGATATAGCGAATTCTCAGCTTAATCCGACCGACGGTCTGCACGGCACGCTGCGCGACGTTCAAGGTACTCTTGCTGTTTTGACTAAGTCCTTCTTGATCCCTCTCTCTACAAACTCGGACCCGAGGATAGGGGCTGGTCTTGTACCAGGCACCCAGGGACCCTTGGAGGTGACCCCGAGGAGAGGTTTTAAGTTTGATTAAGTCCTAATAGCTTGAGTTTATTAGGCCCTTACACCAACAAGCTGGTATCAGAGCTGCGTTATAGTGATCCTCGTTATAGGTAGCTATGGCGGGCAACACCTCGGCGGGAGCTGGTGAATCTTCAGCCCAAGATCGTAGCGGCAGCCAAGATTCTGGTCTTTCAGCGCCAAGGGGAGCGCGAACCAACCAGAGCTCACTGATCAAGGAGGTGCTGAAGAATTTCACCGTCGAGAAGTTCAATGGTGAGGGCTATGATGACTGGGCCTGGAAAATGCAATTGTATTTCCGTCAGATCGGTTTGCTGAAACTAATGATTGGGGAGGAGCCTAGACCGAGTGACCCCACGCTGCAGGAAGATTGGGACGAGCGCTCCTCGGCTGGCTACTATCTGATGTCGCAGAGTTTGGAGCTGAACCAGCGTCACCACGTCATGCATCTGCTGCCGGAGGTTGAATGCGGTCCGAAGGCGTGGACCGTGTTGAAGGAGCTGCACGCCCCGACCTCCGTTGTCGCAACGTTGATGCTGGAGAGGGAGCTGTCCGCGTTGCGCCTGAGCGAGGGAGAGCCGGTGCAACCTGTCCTGGACAAGATGCGCGACCTGTACGCGAAGTTGGCGACCGCGGGAATCACCTACCCGGAGCAGACCAAGTGCTTGAAGATGCTCTCGCTGCTGCCTGAATCGTGGCTTCAATTCACGAGCGGATTAAGCCTGCCGCAGAACCAGAGCTCGTGGACACTCGAGTGGGTGCGGACAAAGATTCTGGAGGAGGACTTTCGTCGCCGCCAACTGAGGGGTGGGGACGACGGCAGCAGCGGCTACGGGATGCAAGGGAACCGACGTGGCAGAGGACGTGGCTTCGGTGGTGCTGGGCGCGGTGCAAAGAAGGACGACGACTCCAACGACCAACAAGGAGGTACCGGTTGGGGTCGCAGTGCGAAATCTGGACGTGGGGGCAAGTCGGATGCTGGTGGCAAAATGAAAGGGAGTTGCTGGTATTGTGAGAAGGAGGGGCACCCCTGGTTTTTGTGCTATAAGAAACCCGATGGATGGACCCCCCAGAATCGTCAACAGGATGTGTACATGACGCAGCCGCCTGGGTATGAGGATGGTACGGGCAGGGTGTGCAAGCTCAACAAGTCCATCTACGGCTTGAAGCAGGCGCCACGCTGCTGGTACCAGAAGTTGGCAGCTGTTTTAGAGGAGATGGGATTCAGGACCAGCAGCTGTGATGAGAGCCTCTTTCTCAAGGGCGAGGGGAAGAAGCTGGTGCTGTTTCTGGTCTATGTGGACGACATTCTTCTCTTCAGCAGCAGCATGAAGGAGATCCAGAAAGTGCAGCAGCAACTGATGGAAAACTTCAAGTGCAAGAACCTTGGGGAGGTAAAGTACTACCTCGGGATGCACGTGGAGAGGGATCCAGATCACAGGTGGTTGAAGCTGCACCAGGAGAAGTTCATCAAGGAGCTGGGGGAAAAGTATGGGATTGAGAATGAGCGCAAGGTTGCAACTCCCCTGCCAGCAGAATTCAAGCTTGTGAAGGCTGCAGAGGATGAAGGGGTTGAAGCTGAAGAGCAGCAGCAATTTCAGTCCTTGGTGGGCAGCCTCTTGTACGCAGCAGTTCACACGAGGCCCGACATCTCTTTCTCGGTTGGGCAGCTGGCTAGGGTGGTGCAGAATCCATCAGAGGAGCAGGTGGATGCAGCTGAGCGTGTGGTGAAGTACCTGAACTCTCACCCAAGCATTGGAGTTCAATACTCCGCATCTGCACAGGTGAAGCAGAAAGGGGTGGAGGTGCTGAAAGAGAAGGGGGAGAGGCTTGGAGAAGGCAAGCTATTTCTCACTTGCTTTACCGATGCTACGTGGGCTTCTGAGAAGGAGGATTCCTCATCTGTGGGAGGATACATCTGCGTAGTTGGGGGAGGACCTGTTAGTTGGAGGTCCAAGAAGCAGACGGAGACGGCACTCTCTTCCATAGAATCAGAGTACATGGCGATGTTCCATGGGGTGAAGGAGGTGATTTGGCTGAGGAGGCTGTTAGAGGAGATTGGCCAGGAGCAGAAAGTTGCTACGCCGCTGTTTTGTGATAGCAAGGGGGCTCTTGGGATGGCCAGGAACGCTGTGCTTCATGGCCTGAACAAGCACATGCGTATCAAGTGGCACTGGCTGCGTAAGGAGGTGAAGAGGGGGACGGTGAATCCAATCTACATCAAGACTCACCAGCAGCCAGCAGACTTTCTCACCAAGAGGCTTGCGGATGAGCCTCATTGGCGTTGTGTGCGCATGAGTGGAATGAGCATGAACCACCGGCGCCTCCCCCTCACATCCCGCCGTCGCCTCCCCTCTCACCGACGTCGCCCCCCCCCCTCTCATCTCGCCGTCGCCGCTGACGACAGCTGCACGAGCGCGAGTTGGTGGGCAAGCGCGAGATGGTTTCTTAGGCGCCGTGACTCTGAGGTGCGCTTACATATCCCTGTGTTTTTCTCCTCCTTTCCCCCTCTGATAATTGCTTACTTTCTTACATTTTTTGTAGCTTCTGTTTGTCGATTGGTCTTCTTTCGTTGCACTATTTTGTAAAGAGGGAGAGAGAGGGGGGGCAAGGGAGCAACAGAGCGTGTGGGAGGGAGAGGCGGGAGAGATAACGCCGCCTAAGCCGCTTGTGCTTGGAGAGTTGGCACCGTGGGCGCTTGCGCTTAGGGCGTGTGTGTGTGTGTGTGTGTGTGTGTGTGTGTGTGTGTGTGTGTGTGTGTGTGTGCGTGTGTGTGTGTGTGTCGGCAAGAGGGTGCGAGAGGATGGGTGTGGGTGTGAATCTTGGTGCGAGTGCGGATGTCAGTTCGAAAGTGAGATGCGTGCATGCACTTGAAGGTGAGCGCGGTAGTGAACGCAAGGGCGAGTGCGAACGTGATTGAGAGAGCAAGCGCAAGCGTGATGCACGAGTGGGTGTGAAAGAAAGTGTGAGAGTGAGTGTAAGGACGATGGTGAGTTGGAAAGTGAGTATGTGTGTGGATGCGAGGTTGAATGCAAGGGTGCGGGTGAGTGCAAAAGGGGGTGAGAAAGTGCGTTCGAGTTTGTGTGCTATGTTGAGTACGACGATGAGTGCACGCGTTTGTGTGCGTCTTTTGTGAATGTCGAACAAGAGTTGTAGGTGAAGAGCGAGTGCGAGAGCGAGTGCAGGGGTGAGAAAAAGGTGCGTGCGATGTCATGTGCGAGAGCAAGTGGGAGAATAAGCGTGAATGTGAGTGCGAGGGCGAATGCGAACGTGAGTGCGGGTGTGATATGGCGAGGGCGAATGCGAGCGTGAGTGCGTTTATGAGCGCAAGAGCAATTGCAAGCATGAGTGTGGGTGTGAGTGCGAGGGAAACTGTGAGTGCGGGTGTGAGTGAGTGCGCCTTCAGTTTGAGGGTGTATGCGACTGTGTGTGCATGTGTGTGTGGGGGTGTTCGAGTGAGCGCGAGCCCAAGGGTGAGTGCGAAGATTTGTGTGTGTTTTCAGTGAGTGTGTGTAAGAGCTGTTGAATGTATTCGAGTGTCGGTGAGTTGCGGCAAGAGTGAGTGCGAGCGGATTTTTGTTTCTTGTGCATCAAAGAAACTGCACCCACGCAAGTTGTATTCTCTGTTTCCGTTATTGTTTGCGCAGGGTGTGAGTTGCATTTGCTGTTTCTTCTTTTGTGCATAGGAAGTTCAAGCTGCACGCGCTATTTCTTGCGGAGAAAAGGGATGGGGAGAACGGAGATGAGGGAAATGAGGGAGGGAGGGAGGGAGGGAGGGAGGGAGGGAGGGAGGGAGAGAGGGAGGGAGGGGGGGAATGGGGGATAGGCTAGTGATGATTTATACAAGGCTGAACCTCATTCATTATCCTTGCATACTTATAACTGTAGCTGTATGTTTTTGCGTTGTGTGTCTTTGTGTATGTGTGAGCCTGCATGTGTGAATGCGTACATGTGCATATGCGTTGTGTGTGTTTCAGAGTGTGGTGCTAAGTGCCTCGTGAATGCAACTCGGGTTGTGATCGTCGGTGGGGCAGCTTTGCTAGCCTCTTCCGTACCATATCAATCTTAGTTGCAGCATTGATGCATTTAGTATTCGCCTTGAAACATTCTGAACCATTGCCATCTGTTTTTTTACCAGTGTGTTCGTGTAATTGAATGCGCTTGTTTTGGGGATGTGGTGGTGAGTGCCTCGTGTGTGCAATTGGGATTGTGATCGTCGGTGGGGCAGCTTTGCTCGCCTCTTCCGTACCATATCAACTCAGTTGCTGCATGGATGCATTTTGTATTCCCCTCAAAACATGTACGACGGTTCTTGCACACGATTGCTTTTGTGGCCATTCGCGTATGTGTGTCTTTCAGTGGTTCCGTTATATCTCTTGTGTTGCCCTTCGTGTTCGTGTGTCATTTTCTATCGTCATTAGTGCTAGAACGATTGTCCAATTGTTCCATTCGCCGTACTTTTCGACGATTATGGAATGATTGGAAACACTTGTTTTCATTTCTTCGGGAAATTAGTGAACAGTGATTTCTTTCGAAATTGATGGGAGAAATTCACTGCTCACGACAGCCAACGAATGTATAAGGTTGCTACGCAATACATTTCACTTTCATTTCGCAAACAGCACCTAGACCCAACAATTACTCAGAAACATCACTAACATCACATCCTACTTTTGTCTCTGCTCAATAGTGCTTCTCCTAGTGCTGCCTACTCCTCTTCCTCTTCGTCCCCTGCGTGCCACTCTTCACATTCTTCTCCGTCATAGCGGCCAGGGCGCCACCAATCATCATCGTCATCGTTCTACTCTCCCGCCTCACCGCCTTCTTCTGGCGCGTTCCACTCCTCCTCTGCCGCCTCCGCCGCTGCCTCTGCCGCCTCCTTTGCGACGTCATCCTCCTCTGCTGCCTGCAGCTCCTCGTAGGCCTCGGCGTAGAACGGGTATAGGGCGAGCTCGTCGTCAACGAGGTCGTTGACGTCTTCAAGGACCTCAACCTCTTTATTGTCCCGCATGTGGGCAAGGATCAGGTGGTCTTCAGTGCCATCGATCTTGGCGGAGATCCTGTTGGTGTAAGGGCCTAATAAACTCAAGCTATTAGGACTTAATCAAACTTAAAACCTCTCCTCGGGGTCACCTCCAAGGGTCCCTGGGTGCCTGGTACAAGACCAGCCCCTATCCTCGGGTCCGAGTTTGTAGAGAGAGGGATCAAGAAGGACTTAGTCAAAACAGCAAGAGCACCTTGAACGTCGCGCAGCGTGCCGTGCAGACCGTCGGTCGGATTAAGCTGAGAATTCGCTATATCGAAGCTCGCTCCAAGAGCTTTAAATTGAGCCAAGTTGCCTCGCGAAAAGTTCTGCCATTACTAAGTTATGGCTCGGACAGCGTTTGCCTAGCGTTGGAGTGCTAGCATACTAGCGTTGACTCGGGTAGCATTCCGCCGTCGAATAGCGCAGAAACGAAATTCCAACGAGGAAGGAATTCGCATGAATCAATTTGACTATATTCAGGTACAAACAGAGAAGGATTAAATAGTTCTAGCTAGCAAGGACCTTGGGAATCAACCTGGGAACAACCAGGGATGATCCCAAATAATTCCAAGCAACAGAACCAACCTGGCTGGACAAAATAGCAGGTGGTAGGTTGGTAAACAACCTCTGGTTCTGTTTTTCCAACCTGGGAAAACAACAACCAGGCTCTCATCACAGCTGCTGGTCCTGAATCCCATCTCCTCTAAAACAGCTGCCAACTTCTGGTACCAGCAGCGTGGCGCCTGCTTCAAGCCGTAGATGGACTTGTTGAGCTTGCACACCCTGTCCGTACCATCCTCATACCCAGGCGGCTGCGTCATGTACACATCCTCCTCTAAAATCCCATTCAGGAATGCCGTTGAAATATCCATCTGAATGATGAATTTCCCACTAACAGCTGCATCTGCCAACAAGACACGGAGGGTAGGGGGTTTGGCAGTGGGAGCAAAGATCTCGTTGAAGTCCTGCTTCTCCTTCTGCATAAACCCCTTCGCCACCAGCCTACTCTTGTAGATGGTGACCTGCCCCTTGTCATCGGTCTTGATCCTCAGCACCCACTTGCATTGTATCGCTTTCTTCCCATCAGGCAGCACCACCAGATCCCATGTCCTATTCTCCAGCAGACTCTGGTACTCTGCATCCCTAGAAGCCAGCCACTTGTCCCTATCTGGTCCAGCTAATGCCTCCTCCATGCTAGCTGGTTCCTCTGGTGCAGGGGCAAGAAAACAGTACGCAGGCTCATCCTCCTCATCCGGGTCATAGCCATGAGGTAGAATCAGCAATGCCTCTTCGGTCCCTAGCTGCTGCTCTGCTGCATCAGTTCCTGCAGTCAGCTTCTTAGTAGCCATACGGGTACGTCCTGGCCTGGAGACGGGTGTCTCCCATCCCTTCATAACGACACCCTTCGGCTTCTTAGTTTTTCCCTGCTGCTTCTCTCCTCCCTCGGGTCCAGCAGCTCCACTAGTGCTGCCGCCAGTTTCCACACCATTTTCTCCACCAGCAGATGCCTCCTGTACCTTCTCTCCATCACCATTTCCAGCAGCTGCCTCCTCTCCCTCCTCCCACACACTAGGAGTCAGGTCTAGCTGCATGGTGATCTGCTCCATCTGCTGGGACACCCTTGCCTCCGGCTGTTTCTCCCAGCTCCCATACATCATGCCCTCAATGAATTTCACATCCCTGCTGTCAAACAACACACCCTTGGATGGTTCCCACAGCAGCCATCCCTTGCTCTCAGCAGCCAGCCCCAAATGCACACACCAGATTGCACTCGCCCCCAACTTACTGCGGTAGGTCTTGGGGACGTGGGCGACTGCCATGCAACCGAACACCCTCAGCATGTCCACCGGCGGCTTCCTCCCAAGCCACCTCTCCAACGGCACCCACGAGTCATCCCCAACCTTGGTGAGCACCCTGTTCCTAGCGACAGTGGCGTGCCGGACAGCATGAGGCCACATAGAATTGCTCAGCCCAGATTCTATGAGCAGCGCCCTAGCTGTCTCCAGAATGGTCCGGTTTGCCCGTTCTGCTACACCATTGGACTGTGGGGTATAAGCCGTGGTCAGCTCTCTCTGGATGCCCTGCTTCTTGAGCCAGGCCGTCATTTCAGCTCCAAGGAACTCACCACCCCGGTCTGTCCTAATCCGCTTCACTACACACTCCGCCTGCTTCTCCACGAATGGCAGCCAATCGTCCCGTATCGTGGAGGCGGCGTGGTCCTTCTGCTTCAGCGGATACGCCCACATCAGCCTGCTCCAGTCATCCACAATTGTAAGAAAATACCGCTCCCCCTTGTGCCCTTGCACCGGCAGCGGCCCCACCAAGTCCATGTGGACCAGCTCCAAAGGCTTCTTGCTCCTGCCAGCCACACTATGGAAAGGGAAACGGGTGAACTTTGAAAGCAAACAGATTTCACAGTTGTCATCGGGTGGCTGTCCGTTCAGCTTCAGACCCTTAACGGCTCCATCCTTCTCCAGCTGCTTCAGCAAAGGCATTGCCACATGCCCTAAGCGCCGGTGTGCCGTTGCCCAATCTGTCTCCCCAGATCTGGCTGACACTTTCACACCAACCCCTCCAACGGCATTGCACTCCCCCTGGGATGCAGACCCCTCTCCAGCCTGCCCCCCACCATGCCACGCCAGGGCCGGCAGCTGCCACATAGATCTGTACACGTCCTTGCTCTCGTGCAGATCCCAAAGCACCCGATTGCCCAGCTTCCCCTTATAAGTGCGTGCCCCATCCGTGTTGGTGTTCACCCCAGCCTTGCCAAGCTTACGGAGGGAGATAAGGTTGGCCTTCAGGTCGGGGACGAAGAGAACGTCGTGCAGCACCACCGGCTTGCCATCCGCTCCCTTAAACGCAGCTCGTCCCGCACCAGCCACCTTCAACATGTGTCCAGAGGCGGAGCACACTTCATTGATCGGTGCAGCTCGTACTTCGTCCAGCAGGTCCTTGCGCGGCGTCATCGTCCAAGCAGCGCCTGTGTCCAACACCCAATAGTCTAGGGGGTGCAGCTCTGCTCCAACTTTGGCAGAGGCGTCTCCTTGCTCCCCCTTGTCTCCTACATGGAAGAATTGGCCCGCGGTGCGCTCCTTCTTCTTCTCCGCACCGCCGTTGCCCTTCGGGTTGTTGTCGGACGAATCAGCGACCATGTTGGCGCCGTTTTTCTGGTTCCTCCGCGCGCCGCCATCCTGGTGACGATTCTGGGGGGTCCATCCATCGGGTTTCTTATAGCACAAAAACCAGGGGTGCCCTTCCTTCTCACAATACCAGCAACTCCCTTTCATTTTGCCACCAGCACCCGACTTGCCCCCACGTCCAGATTTCGCACCGCGACCCCAACCGGTACCTCCTTGTTGGTCGTTGGAGTCGTCGTCCTTCTTTGCACCGCGCTCAGCACCACCGAAGCCACGTCCTCTGCCACGTCGGCTCCCTTGCATCCCGTAGCCGCTGCTGCCGTCATCTCCACCCCTCAGTTGGCGGCGACGGAAGTCCTCCTCCAGAGTCTTCGTCCGCACCCACTCGAGCGTCCACAAGCTCTGGTTCTGCGGCAGGCTCAATCCGCTCGTAAATTGAAGCCACGATTCTGGCAGCAGCGAGAGCATCTTCAAGCACTTGGTCTGCTCCGGGTAGGTGATTCCCGCGGTCGCCAACTTCGCGTAGAGGTCGCGCATCTTGTCCAGGACTGGTTGCACCGGCTCTCCCTCGCTCAGGCGCAACGCGGACAGCTCCCTCTCCAGCATCAACGTTGCGACAACGGAGGTCGGGGCGTGCAGCTCCTTCAACACGGTCCACGCCTTCGGACCGCATTCAACCTCCGGCAGCAGGTGCATGACGTGGTGACGCTGGTTCAGCTCCAAACTCTGCGACATCAAATAGTAGCCAGCCGAGGAGCGCTCGTCCCAATCTTCCTGCAGCGTGGGGTCACTCGGTCTAGGCTCCTCCCCAATCATTAGTTTCAGCAAACCGATCTGACGGAAATATAATTGCATTTTCCAGGCCCAATCATCATAGCCCTCACCATTGAACTTCTCGACGGTGAAATTTTTCAGCACCTCCTTGACAAGCGAGCCCTGGTTTGTTCGCGCTCCCCTTGGCGCTGAAAGACCAGAATCTTGGCTGCCGCTACGATCTTGGGCTGAAGATTCACCAGCTCCCGCCGAGGTGTTGCCCGCCATAGCTACCTATAACGAGGATCACTATAACGCAGCTCTGATACCAGCTTGTTGGTGTAAGGGCCTAATAAACTCAAGCTATTAGGACTTAATCAAACTTAAAACCTCTCCTCGGGGTCACCTCCAAGGGTCCCTGGGTGCCTGGTACAAGACCAGCCCCTATCCTCGGGTCCGAGTTTGTAGAGAGAGGGATCAAGAAGGACTTAGTCAAAACAGCAAGAGTACCTTGAACGTCGCGCAGCGTGCCGTGCAGACCGTCGGTCGGATTAAGCTGAGAATTCGCTATATCGAAGCTCGGTCCAAGAGCTTTAAAATGAGCCAAGTTGCCTCGCGAAAAGTTCTGCCATTACTAAGTTATGGCTCGGACAGCGTTTGCCTAGCGTTGGAGTGCTAGCATACTAGCGTTGACTCGGGTAGCATTCCGCCGTCGGATAGCGCAGAAACGAAATTCCAGCGAGGAAGGAATTCGCTTGAATCAATTTGACTATATTCAGGTACAAACAGAGAAGGATTAAATAGTTCTAGCTAGCAAGGACCTTGGGAATCAACCTGGGAACAACCAGGGATGATCCCAAATAATTCCAAGCAACAGAACCAACCTGGCTGGACAAAATAGCAGGTGGTAGGTTGGTAAACAACCTCTGGTTCTGTTTTTCCAACCTGGGAAAACAACAACCAGGTTCAGGTTCTAAAAACAGAACCTGTTTTGTCTTTGCCCAACCAGCCAAATGCTGGTTCCGCTGGTTTCCCCTGGCCTTGTAGCATGCAGATACAGACAAACAACATCCAACCTTCACCTAAATTGTACCC